ATGACACTTTTTGCTCCTTCGAAGATTTAAATCCTCAGAAAAACTAAACAGGGTCGCTGAGTCAGAACAGACTTAACAGCACTGAACAACAACAATCATTCTATGTTTGGACCTGAATTTTCCAAAGGTCATTTTGGGCTTAGAAGTGACTCATCAAGATAACCCACTAGTCTCTGTGTGTTTTAAAAGGGAAATTAGAAAAGGTACCATCTCAGAGGGGCACAGTCTCTTCACGGTTGTTGGGTTAGATGGTAGAAACCCAACTCTCAAGTGGGCACCTTTGCATATTCCATAAATTGTACAGTCATATGCAGGTTTGTGACTCGTATCTGTCTCAGAACTTTTTTTTTTAATCAGTGTACTTATTTAGTCATTTATTAATGTTTAAAGTCATTTATTAAGCTACAATTTTTATATACATTCTCAGATTCAATCCGGTAAATGTATGTATATTTTACCAGAACTGATTTATTCTCCAAATATACAAACAAATCATTCTCTTTTATGGAAAATGTTCCTTTTACTTTCTTTGACTGCTTATCTAGGAATACTTGCTTTGACAGGCCCTGATCAGTACTTATATGCCCTTTACACTTACAGCAACCTGATCGATCACTTATTTGATTTTGTGTATGTTCCTGTGTGTTTTTAAAAATAGGGTCCTAGATAAGCACTGGACTGCTAATCACAAGGTCAGCGGTTCAAACCCACCAGGTGCTCTTTGAAAACCCTATACAGGGTCTCTATGAGTCAGAACCGGCTCAATAGCACTTAACAACAAAACAAAAATGTTTAATATCTTATTTATCAGCTATCCTTAAGTGGATTAAATCTTAATACACAAAAGAGCTATCTAACTGGAGGACAGAAATTATTCTTTTGGCAGAAGCTATTTGTTGTAGTTATGCAGAGCAAAACCCCAAACTTACTGCCATCAAAGCAATTCCGAATCACAGGGACCCTACATAGGGCTTCTAAGACCAAATCTTTACAGGAGCAAACAGCCTTTTTCCTCCCCAGGATCAGCTGCTGTGTTTGGAACCAGCAACCTTCAGTTAGCAGCCCAATCCCTAAGCCACAGCACCACAAGGGTTCCTTTGTGTGTTGTTGTTGTTATGTGCCGTGGGGTCAGTTCTCCTTTGTGCAGTGCCTTCAAACTATTCCTTACTGCTAAGAACTCTGCTTTATTCTTGTCGTTATCTGCCTGTGAGTCACTTCTGACTCATAGCAACCCTGTATGGGGATTCCCAGTTGTGGCTGTTGAGGTCTGAACTGCTGACCTTGTAGTCCAGAGTATTATCCTGCAGTGCCACAACTCTGCTAGGAAATGCTATTTTGTGAGATATCTAGTTCTAGCCTCCTCCTTTGAGGTTTAATACCTGAATTACAATTGTATTCACTGCTTTCTATTAATATCTTTCGTATGAAACGCTGAAACTCAACTACATTTGAAAGCTCACTCTTCATTTGTGTTAATTCTGTTGTTTTCCAAAAGTATTATATAAAATACTTTGATCAGTAAAATAAGCAAACCAGAGTATATTCATTAACTAAAAAAAGAGAAGTTCCTTGCAGCTTCTTTAATTAAGCTTACTGAAACCAAAGCTACTGCTGCCAAGTCTGCTTCAACTCATCAAGGCAATACAGAACAGAACAGAACTGCTCCACAGTTTCTAAGGCAGTCAATCACAAGGGAAGCAGACTGCTGTATCTTTCTCCCAAACTGAAACCCAGCTTTTTGTTTGCAGCAGAGAGCTTTAACATTGTGCCACCAGGGCTTCCTTAATTACACTTAATATATATAAGATACATGTTGTTGTTAAGTGCCATCAAGTCAGCTGCAACTCACAGTAGACCCTATACAGGGTTTCTGAGGAGCCTCTGGGGGGCTTGAACCACCGACCTTGCGGTTAGCAGTCCAATACTTATCGTGCAGCACCACACTAGAACTATGTTGTTGTTGAGTGCCCTTAGTGGTTCCGTCTCATAATGACTCTGTATAGGGTTTCCAAAGAATGGCTGGTGGGTTTGCATCGAGGGGACTATAGATGCATATAAAGACATATATATATTTATTTACTTTTATATAGAAAAGTTCACTATTTTAGGATGTAGCAAAATTTTAAATCACATAATTTTAACACAACTTACTTTAAAATATCTGTCCTGACAAGAATTAGGCTTATAGTATGCCAAAACATAGAAAAAGCTAACAGGAGATCTGCTTTTTAAACTATATACAAACTTACAATCAAGAAACCAATCATATGAATATATTTAAATATATGTCATCCTTGGAAAACTTACTCTGTAACAAATATAATTTCTTTCATTAATTTACATTGTAAATTTCTTTAAAATAGCTTTCATTTAGATAAAGAAAATACCAGTATAAGCATATTTCCTCTCCAATAAGTATGGCACTGTGGGATAAAGCCCAGGACCCTAGGGGTCCATTCGAATCATAAGGTTCAAACTCACCGACCACTCCTTGGAGACCCTATAAAGGGTCCCTATGAGTAAGAACCAACTCAACCACACTTAACAACAACAACAACAAAGTAAATCAATAATATATTTAATGGATATTTCTTTCTCAAATTAATACTATCTAGTTGCATAACGAAAAATGTAAACATTACTAATCCGTGCGTGTAGAAAAAGATACTATTTAATTGCCCATTATTAGGTAACCAAACTAATAAAAATGGGGATTAGATTCAACCTAAGTCTACTCCTTACCCTCCAGCCTAGAGCAACATATACCTCTTTACAAGACTAAACAGAGAGCAATGTATTCATTTTTACCTGGTATTACATGTATTTTAGACTAACAGAAGCCCCTATCAGTAAGCTGTTATCCATTGTCAAAACATCCCTCCAAAAAAATACTGATGAATACTTACAGTTCTTACATTATTTTCACATTTGGATGTCTCCAAGTATATTTTAATGGACCATAACAAGAGAGATATAGTTTTTCACCGTACCTTATTATACTAATAATCTCTTTTAATTACTCTTTAGGAGTAATTAAAAATATAACTAAAGCAGCATCTTTGCATAACTTAGCTTGATAGTCATACAAAAGGCAATAGACTGATTCCACAGAATGAAAGAATGAAAATATAAACTTCCCAATACACTTAATAGAATGAAAAACAATGGAATTTTCCCAAAAACTTTTGAAGCACCCTCTTATTAACAACTCCTAGTCAATTTTCCATGTTTACCTTGCTATGGAAACTAGATAACAATTTATAACTCAGGAAAATTATTTATTGAATAATTTTAGTGACCACATATTGATATATGAACTAGTTTATGTTTTAAACATTATTTCTAAAAATGTTTCTGGAAGTCTTACCATGAGCTGTGTAGTTTGTACAGTTAACTGGTTCCTGAGTGGCATCATTTATTTTTGGATCTTTACAAATATACATAAGAAAAAGTTAAGGAAATATGAACTACATTTTAACACAAAACATTGCCTTGTTTTAAAATACCTCATATTCTGTACTCATGTTGAATTTACATTTAGAGTCTGCTAGTTTGTCCAAATCAACAAGCACAATTGAAAATACAACTTTAGTGTCACTAAATACCTGAGCTTTAACTTATTAATGTTGTTTTTGTTGTTAAGTGCTGTCGAGTCGACTCCGACCCATAGCAACCCAAAATAGGGTTTCTGAGGAGCAGCTGGTGGGTTTGAACTGTGGACCTTGTGGTTTGCAGTCCCGTGCTGTTCCTATAGTGGTCATACCAGGAATCCATGGGAAAACCATATTAACTTGGAGGAGCCCAAGGGCTAATGGTTAAGTGATCAGTGTTAACCTGTGTTCAATTTGAATCTCCCAGTGTCTCACAGAGAAAAGACTTGTTATCTCCAGTAAAAATTACAGTGTTGGAATTCTTATGGGGACACTTCCTGCCTTGTCATAAAGGGTTGTTATGAGTCAGAATCAACTGACAGTAACAGATTTGGTTTTCATGCTAACCTGTCTGTTTCTCAAAATCACCCTGGCAATTTTTGCCAAGAAAAACACTTCCCTAACACATGAGTCCTGGAGTCCTGGTATGGCACTGTGAGTTAATGTGCTACACTGCAAAGTCAGTTTGAACCACAAGGTCAGCGGTTCAAGCTCACCAGCTGCTCTTTGGAAACCCTATAAAGGGTTGCTATGGGTCAGAACTGACTCAACAGCACTTTAACAACAACAGATCAGTCCTGGTACAAAGCCATAGGATAAGCAGTTGATCTCAGGGTCGATGAACCACAGGGTTAGTGATTCAAACTCATGAGCCGCTCCCTGGAAACCCTATGCATGGTCACTATGAGGTGGAACCAACTCTGTGGCTTATGTAGCACTCTAGGATAAGCACTCAACTATGAACCACACCCCCACCAGCCACTCCTAGAAAACACTGTTTTGGTTAAGTGTTTTCAAGTCCTTGGTTCCAACTCAGAGAGAGTCTACAGAGGATTTCAGAGGCTGTAAATCTTTGCAGGAGCAGAAAGCCTTATCTTTCTCCCACAAAGCAGCTAGTGGGCTTGAAATGCCTATCAATCTTGTAGTTAGCAGTTCAGTAGTTACCCTACAGAGTCACAGCACTCCCTGAAAGCATTACTTTGTTGTTAAGGGCCTTGGAGCTGGTTCCAGCTCATAGCGACCCTAATAGGGGTTTGGAGTAGTAGCTGGTGAGTTTGAACCCACAACGTTGAGGTTAGCAGTCCAGTACTTATCCTACAGCGCCACACCAGGACTCCAAAAACAGTATTATTACAGGGTCGCTAAAAGTCGGAACAGACTCGAGGACACCCTGATTCTCAAACTTGAAGCATAATGGTAGTTAATAAGCTGAGGTATTTTACTGTAAAACTCAAATAATGGCTACCTTTTCAAAATACACATAGAAATACTATGAGATTGTTTTGTTAATCTTAAATTTCCTCATAGAATCCTTCTTAAATCTCAGGATACAGTATTTGCTTGTCTGTTCTACAACTGGTGTAAAACAATTTCTAATTTTGTACAAAAATAGCTATTTTCATTTGAATAAAACTCCCATTGCGTTTTGTCCCTGCTGCGTGACAACAGGCTGATCCATTGAACCACTTCAGTTTCCAGTTTCCTATCAGTAAATACACAGCTGACAAATTTAGCTCATACTGCGTATAAGGCACTGCTGTTTTACTTGTACCAACTCATTTAAACATCACAACGACCCTTCACATTGGTACTGTTATTTTCCCCATGAGAAAACGGAGATGAAATAATTTGCCCAAGTTCACAAAATAAAGTAGGAATTTAGCCCCTGTAAATCTCGTATATCTCGAAGTTTGAGGATTATATCGGAAATTAAGGCGACACAAAAGGGCTACATTACTTCGTCTTCCCCCAAGTCGGAAAACTTTTCTAGAGTAGAACCTGGGGCTTAGCAGTGCCTGGAACACTCAGAAAGCACCTGTATATCAGCAGTGCCTGGAACAAAGCCTGGCACATTCACCATTTGTACTATTGTTGAATAGGCCCACCAGTTAAAAAAGAAAGGCGGGGGCAATAAAATCCCGAGAAAATCATGGGGTGGTTTGTGCCCTTCTCACTACACATCACTCTCCACATTCCAAAGTTTCTCGATCATTACAGGCCAGGGGTCACCTTCAGGACAGCCCTTGCCCGTGTTAAGGTCTGTGACCCACTCGAGATCCAAAATCTACCGCCCTCACAGTCCCCACTCCATAGGGAGGTTCCCCATAGAGGATATTGTCCCACTTTGAGATCTTCGCACTTAAGCGTCTCCTCGCCCCCGGCGACGGCGGTGGCAGCAGCCCCCCAAGGTCCAGGGGTGACTGACACGAACCACAGCACACCCAGGAGGTGGGCGGCTAAAGCCTCCGGAGAAGAATCCGAAGGCCAGGGCGCCGCCATACTGGGACCCGGCGCATCCCCCATAACTTCCGGTTCCGCCTACGACTAGGATGAGGGCGGGAGGTTCTTAAAGGGGCCGGTTCCACCCTCCACCTTCCTCGCTGCTTTCCCTCCACCGTTGCAGGTGAAATCTCTTAGAAGAGTTTTTTTAGAAAATGCGCATCTCGGGTCTCCTCTCTCGGGACTCTTCTCCCGCCACTCGCCTCCAGCAAGGAATTTCCCTACTAACACTTGGAAGGAGCTAAAGGCAAGGTTGGTTTTTGAGGGCAGGAAAGAAAACGTCCTGAAGGAGTCAGCTGCCGCCTCTTCACCACACCTCACTCTCGAGTTAACCCGTCTACGATTTTGTTGTCCTCCAGAAGTGCCTGCGGTGCAAAATGCAGTATTTACATCATCTCGTTTTGTTGTGATAAGGTTTACAGATATGAAATCGACTGAAATTCGTTAAAAGTACAGCCCTTTGTTACTGTGATTAAGCTGGAGCAAAAGACACATTCACCAGATTCTGTAACCTTTGTCTCCTCAATACTTTAGAGGACCCTAATGATGCCGTGGAGCTCTGGTAGCGTAGTGGTTACGAATCGGGCTGCGAACCTTAAGGTCAGCGGTTCGAAACTACCAGCCGCTCCGCGGGAGAAAGATGAGGCTTTCTACTCCCGTAAGGATTTACACCCTCGGAAACCCTGTACAGGGTCGCTATGGGTCGGAACCGACTCGACGGCACTTAACAACAACAACAACAATGATGCCATGAGTTAAGCGTTGGGATGCTAACTGCAAGGTCAGCGGTTCAAACCCACCAGCCTATCTTCCGACGCAACAGGAGGCTGGCTGTTCCTAGACAGATGGCAGTTTCAGAAACCTTATACAGGGTCGCACTGAGTCTCAACCAACTAACAATAATTCAAAATCGACAGGGTGACAGTAGAAGGAACCCTGGGGTGGCATAATTATGCTCTTGGCTACTAACTGAAAGGTTTGAACTCACAAGCTAATTCTGGGTGAAAGATATAGCAGAATTTTTACATTAGAAAATGAAGTGAAGATTTACATTAGAAAAGACCTGTAAGAGACCAAAGAATTTACAACCACTCTGAGTGAAAAATTGAGAACTGTTTGCTCCAGATCTTTTAAGTTTTAAATTCTAAAGATGTGTGATGGAAATATCTTTTATAATGAAAAAATGCATGTGTACTTTAAGTGAAAGTTTAATCCTTTTATATAAAATTGTAAAACCACTTTAATTTCAGTGGTAACTTTCATCCACACCCTTGTTTTGTGCTAGCCTGTTGATTCCAACTCATAGGGCCCTATATGACAGGATAGAATTGTTCCATAGAGGTCTTATAGGCTGTAAACTCCAGGAGAACAGATGTGAGGAAGAATTCGTGGTTTTGCAGCTCAGCATTTAACCAGAGCTGCTTTCATCCACATAAGCACTAATTTGTACAAGATTACATAATGCAATGGTTCTCTAAATATAGGGGTGTCGGGGTGTCACTATTCCCTTGACAACTTGTGAAAATGCCAGTTGATGTACACCACCCTCAGGTTCAGAAGATCTAGGGTGGGCTGGATACTTCTCATTTCCAAGGAGTTCACAGCTTATATTGCAAGCTCAAGGTTCCCAGTTTGAGACCATTGTTCCAATGTATTACAAAAATGAACACTCTGGGTTATCATGAGAAGACATGAAACTGTTTGCAGTGATCAAGTATTGTGACAATATAACTTTGTTTAATAAAACATGTTTGCAGAACTATGTGCTATTTTAAATTAAAATATTTATGCTTGATTAAAGGAAACTCTAAGACACAAGTAACAACAACTGTTTTTTATTAGAGTCGTGGTGTGATGCTGTAGAATAAGCACTGGACCACAAGGTCAGTTTGAACTGCAAGGTCAGTGGTTCAAATCCACCAGCTGCTCCTTAGAAGCTCTATAAGGGTCACTATGAGTCGAAACTGATTTGATGGTACTTAACAACAACAACACTTCTATTAGGAACAGCGCTGCTGGCACTGTAGAATAGTAAGCACTAGACTGCTAACCACAAATATGGTAGTTCAGACCACACCTGCTCCCTGAGAAGAAGATAAGACTTTCTGCTCCTGTAAAGATTTACATCCTTGGAAACTTATACAGGATGGCTATAGGTTGGAACCAACTTGACAGCACCTAACAACAATACCTCTCTGTTCTATTTGGTGACTATGAGTTGGAATCTACATGAAGGCACACAACAAAATGTTTATTAAATAGGATTCTTGTTATTAGGTGCTGTCAAGTCCATTCTTACACATAGTATCCTTATGTACAACAGAATGAACACTGCCCAGTCCTATGCCTTTCTCAGCAATCACAGCAACGTTTGCACCCATTGTAGCCACTGTGTTAATCCATTCCAATGAAAGTCTTCCTCTACTTGACCAAGCATGCTGCCTTCATGATTTCTTGATTCCTCCAGTTAACATATCCAAGGTTCATGGGACTAAGTCACACAAGCCTCATAGCCAAGAAATATCTGGCTGTACTTCTTCTAAGACAAATTTGTTCATTCTTTTAGCAGTTCATGTTATATTCATTATTCTTGACCAACACTAATTTAAAATCAGGGAAAGTGTGTGTCAGTGGTGTATGCTTTCATCACACTTATTCAATCTGTGTGTTCAGCAAATAATTCTGAAAGTCTGGACTATCTGAACAAGAATATGGCATCATGATTGGAGGAAGATTCATTCACAACAAATGACACATCTTTGTTTGTTGATAGTGAAGAGAACTTGGAGCGCTTACTGAGAAAGACCAGTATCTACATTTTTCAGCATGGATTACTCTTCATTATAAAGAAAACAAAACTCCTCACAACAGGAACAGTAAGCAATCATACTAGCAGTAGTCAAGAAATCAAATGACATATTATATTGGTGAATCTGTTGCAAAAGACCTCTTTAAAAAGGTGTTATTTAAAATAAATCAAAAAGCAAAGATGGCACCTTGACGATTAAGGTGCTCCTAAGGAGTCCTGGTGTGGTGCTTTGGGTTAATGTGCCAGACTGCAAAGCCGTTTGAACTGCAAGGTCGGTGGTTTGAGCTCACCAGCTGCTCCTCGGAAATCCTATACAGGGTCTCTATGGGTCAGAACCGACTCGACAGCACTTAACAACAACAATCTAAGCCACATGTACAAGTAACATTGTCTGACTGCTACCTTCACAAGGAGGAGAGAAAATCAGCATCAGCATCACCTGCCAAACTATGATTCTTATGAGCCAGAAGTCAGATATGCCTCTACCTTCCAACCTTTTTATCAATTCCCACACCAATCATGCCTCCTTCTCTCTACCTCTCTGTTGTGCTCAATAATTTGTTATACCATTCACACAGAATGCACAAACCATACTCATGATTTTGGTGTTTATTAATGGAGTCCTGGTGTGGCATTGTGATTAAATGTGCTGGACTATAAAGTCGGTTTGAACTGCAAGGTCAGCCACCCCTTAGAAATGTCATACAAGATCACTATGAGTTGAAACTGACTCAATGGCACTTAACCAGAACAACAAGAAGTTAAGTAATGATGAGATTCAGGTTCAGGAACACTCAGGATCCAGTTCTTCGATCAGGACATCCTCTTCTCTGTCATGCTTGCATGCACGCCTCTCTTTGGTCTTCTGTCCCTCTGTCTAGCCCCTGGTCTGGCCCCTGCCCTGCTTTTAACTCTGACAATTAAGTGCCCAAAAGTATCCCGCTCCATCAAAAAGCCTCCTGCCTGAAAGCATTCAGCTTTCTGCCTCTATGGGCTTGAAAGCTTACTATGCCATCTCTTGTTGGTCTCCTGGTTCTGCTGCCTTTGCTACCAACTCTTCTCTAACATCACTTTTCACCTTCACTCTCAGTGTCCAGTATCACAACTGTCTGTCTCCTGGCTTACGGAGGCGAAACACAGGGTTCTTGAGTTCAAAGGACATGCTTCACTCATAGCTTTTATTTATTGATGGTCATGAGGTTTCCCTTTCTGCCTCTGGAATGGCTCATTTTAAGCATGTTGTTGTTGTTAAGTGCCGTCGAGTCGGTTCCGACCCATAGTGATCCTGAATAGGGTTTCCGAGGCTGTAAATCTTTACAGGAGCAGAAAGCCTCATCTTTCTCCCACGGAGCAGCTGGTAGTTTTGAACTGCTGACCTTGAGGTTCACAGCCCGATTGATTTGTAACCACTACACTTAAGCATAGTGAGATGCGGGGAGAGGGGTGGGGGGACAGGGCCAGACTTGCAGGGTGTACCCTTTGATTGGTTGATGATGCAAAGGAGGGGATTGTAACCATGGCAATGAAATGATATACAATAGGATGAATGTAAAGCTATTGTTCTCCCATGTAAACTAACACATAATTAACAGTAAAACATTAAAAAAAAAGAAGTGTATAGATGGAGGTTATGTCAAGAAAAATATAGATTCATATTTTGATATTTTCCTTTAAGAAAAGATTATGATTTTGGAGCAATAATTTTTTTACTTACCCTCATATCTTCATAGGCTTTAAACCCAGTTCTCCCAAAGCAGACTCTGACTCATGTTGACCCCATATGTATCAAAGCAGATTATGCACCACAGGGTTTTTAATGGCTGAGTTTTGAAAGTAGCTTGACAGGCCTTTCTTCGGAGTCTTTCTTAGTCTAGAAGTTCTGCTGAGACCTGCTCAGCATCCTAGCAATAAGCAAGTCTCTACTGACAGATGGCTAGTGAGTGTGTATGAGGTACACTGGCCAGGAATTGAACTTGGACTCTCACATGGAAGGCAAGAATTTCTATCTTATAGTGAAAAACAGTGACTACATTTTGACTTTTAAAATGTCTTGATTTGATTTTCAAAATACCACCTGAAGAATATCATACAATTAAGGGAAGCAACTTTCTGTTTTGAGTTGATTGAAATTATGATAAAATTGGATATTTTCCTATAGATCAATGTGGAGCTGTAAGATAAGCAATGGACT